ATTTTCAAAATATTCCTTTAAAATGTTTTACAAATATTTTGAAAATATCTTAATTACAATATTGCCATGAAAATATTTTGATAAAGGTGACAATATTTTCAAAATATGTTGGGCTATATGGGTTAGGTGAGACATTTAAGTCAAAAAAACTTTAAAACAACCAGAGAATTGGATGCCAGGCACATGGCGTGAATTTGTTACAACATGATTGCACCGAAATTGCAGTCTTCATAGTGCCTTGAAAAAGAAGGTTAGGCAACAAGCATAATCTACATTTCTTGCAAACTTATTGCAATAAAATTGCAACTTTTTAAGCGCCTTCAAATGAACGTATAGGCGACAAGCAAAAATTGCAATCAACTCACAATCCATTGCAATGAAATTGCAATCCATGCTACTTGGGCCGTTGGGTGTATTTAGTTAATTTCGTTTATTTTTGTGATAACAAGACTATAATTATACAAATTTAATTTTTGTCACGCTGATTTATTTCTACTCGGAGGCACCCTGATGTTTCTACGGAGAAGCAGAATTACGTACGTACTAACCTGTCAGGACTGACTCTAATTTTCTACCTGTTCGTGACTAATTTTGTATGTTCATTCATGACAGTTCATACTTAAATATTTATTTCTTATTAATTCTTTACTAGCTGCTTCAGCTCGCTACGCTCGCTTGCGCCGCTAGCCAGGGGCAAGCCCCCTGGACCCCCAGTTACTCGCTCCGCGAGTAACTGTTGGCTCGCTTCGCGAGCCAAATTTTGCTACTACCAGTGCTTAGAGGACTTCCTGGAGGCAAAATGATAAATTCAAAAATAAAGAATAGGAAACTAAAAATTACCTACTTTTAGAAAAAGAAACAACCTTGAAAAATAAATAACACTCCTGGAAAAGAAAATCAGAACACTTTTTGAAAATGTAACGGTGCGAAAGGGTGAAGATAAATCACCAATTCTCTTGGAAGAAGACATGAGCCGACCCCCGACATGAGTGAAACTGCCGTAGGACCCATGCTAGGGTAGAAGGGTGACACGTGTTGTGAGCAGGTAGGGATGGGTTAACGTGGAGAGGGAAACGGAAAATCAGAGGGTGGGAGGTCCCCCAACCATATGACTCGTCCAGCGTCAAAAACGCAAATATGTCGTTATCAAATCGAGGTAAATTTTGCAACTTCGGTCGCGCAAATCGAAAAACAAAGGGGTCTTGGCACATCTAGACCCTATGAGCTTTCATTGAAAACAAATCCGAGGAAAATCGGTCCAGTAGTTTCCGAGATCGAATTAGCACAAACTGTCCAGCGGCAAAAACGCTAATATGTCGTTATCAAATTGAGGTAAATTTTGCAACGTCGGTCGCGCAAATCGAAAAACCAAGGGATGTTGGCACGTCTACAGCCTAAGAGCTTTAATTTAAAACAAATCCGAGGAAAATCAGTCCAGTAGTTTACGAGATCGAATTAGCACAAACTGTCCAGCGTCAAAAATGCAAATATGTCGTTATCAAATCAAGGTAAATTTTGCAACGTCGGTCGCGGAAATCGAAAAACCAAAGGATGTTGGCACGTCTACAGCGTAAGAGCTTTCATTTAAAACAAATCCGAGGAAAATCGGTCCAGTAGTTTCCGAGATCGAATTAGCACAAACTGTTGGAGGCCAAAAAAGGCCTTAGGATATTAAATATATAGATAGAAGGTGCTTTACCTACTTTGGTTTCAAATTTGTCTATATCTACCAACCTATCCAGAGCACAGCAAGTAAAAAGGCAGGAAGATTCAAGTGTCCAGTTATTAATTGCTTGATTACCAGAGGGCGCAACGCCTCGGGTGATGACGCGCGCCCGCCGGAACAGCGAGTTTTTCGCAAGACAGCTGAGGAGCAGAGGAGCGCGCAGCGGCGCGGCGGGCCTCCCCCTCCCTCCCTCCTTTCTCTCATATTTTTCACGTATGAGTACTTCATTCATACCGCTTTTTCACGCTGAATCTTTTTTAACTAAGAAAATTATTTGATATCTGCCGCCGTTCTCGAGATATTTCGAAAAAACCCGATTTTGGCCGCCATTTTCCAAGATGGCGGCCAAAAGGGGGGGAAAACGGGGGAGCGCGGGTGGCTCTCAGTGGTTTCTGAATCAGGAGGGTCTAACGGTCATTTTCAGACCAAAATCACGTTGGTAGCCGGAAACCGCGTATCATCGTGCATTTTTGAGCTAAGCGACCGCACTATTCTTAGTTCTTCTCTTCTCGTCTTTTCTTACTCTTAAAAAATGCTTACTCTTAAAAAATGCTTACTCTTTCATTTTGAAACATTTTCTCTGAGATTCAAGAAGAAGTTAAATACCTACCTACTTACTGATCTCAAAATCTATCACTTCAAAGCTCAAAAATACAGGTACTCTGCCTATTTATCAAATATTTCCTATTTAAAAAAAGAAATACGTTAGCAAAGGAAACTGTTAATTTCTGAAAAATCATTTAAATTGTTTCAAGGATAGTTTAAGATCCCTCCCTCCCTTTTGTACCAAAAAAGGATATACTATTAGGGGGTACTAGGATTCTTTATAGTCAAGAAATTTTGTTTTGTTCCAAATATGAAAGCTAACGTCTTACTTTATCCGTAAAATTTATTTTGGTGTTCAACCGGTACGGTTGTGTGTTCAACCAAAATTTGAGAGAAAAAATTCAAAATTATGTTTTTGCTGTTTTACTCAACTTTCTGGGCATTTCTAAAGTTCCCTTTGACAGTTTACTACGTGCGTATAAAGGGACTTAAGGAGATTCATAAGTTTCTAGGGTTTAATCCTGAATTCTGAGTGTTAAATGAAATGTCCTGTAATTTCATGATATTTCGGTTTACAATCTTTCACGAAATTTCTTAACTCTGGGCCCATCCGATCTGAATTTCTTCAGCTACTCTACAATTCTTTGCTTATCGAAGAATTCACGATGACTTGGTCATTTCCGGTCTCTTTTCAGGTCTAATACTAACCTAAAAATGGTATCTGAACTATGAGGGTCGATTGTGGTAAAAAATGCGGTTTTTGCGGCCAAATGCTGAAAAATGTAAACTCATGTTTTAGGCCCGTATCAGGCCCGAAAAGTGACCGGAAATGACGAAATAATGGTAAATCCCGTGAAATGCTTACCTTCCATGAGGAAATAATTGTAGTGTTACGGAAATTCTGATAATATGGGTCCAAAAACAGTCCTTATCGATAAGTAATCCTCCTTTCGGCCTGCGAATCTCTATAAGCACTGATGGTGCAAGGGTGAATACAGCCGCTCGCTTCACGTGTGTCAAAAGCCGCAAGATTGGTCTTGGTCTATGGTACATTTTTTAACTTGCAATTTAACATAAAAGACTAAAACAAAACAAATAACCTCCCTTACTTTATACCTAATAACTTCGTAGCGTCGATTAGCGAGAGGGGCACAATAGCCCGACAACCGCGTGGAGCCTTCTCGAGGCGCGGCGGCCCATGTCGCACTCTGCATACTTGCGGCTGTTTTTGAAAGGTCCCGGGATGAGTTATATGAGGGTGGTACGCGAAACTGACTTCGTGGCCCCTAGACTACTTGGCAAAATTTGAAACCTATCAAAATCAAAACCCCTATTACCTATTCATTCTGAAGTGAACAGACGGGAGAAAGGAGCCTTCAGGTAAATGAAATTTAGCTTTGCTGGGTTTTCCTGGGAATTGATCCAGCTGTCATTCAATCTGTATAAGTACGTAGATTGCCACATGCAAAGCACGCAAGGGCCGGTAGTAAATAATATAACATGGTGTGCCCAGTAGATTTAATATTAATATGTTTCTGCTAGTGTACTTGTACTTTCATTTGTAAAAAAAAAAAAAAATAAAAATAAAAATAGAAAATGAAAAATTCCTTTTCACCAAAAATGCCTATCGTTCGACTGAATATTTCAGGTGTGGTCTTTAGAAGCTAAAAACATGGATACTACCAGGCCAACATGGACTCCTGCGCAAGCAACAATAGAAAGCAGTAAAGATTTTCAGATTGTGCTTGAGGGCCAGGCCACAAATGGAGGTTTTGCCGTGGATGATCTCTCGTTTACTCCGGGATCATGTCCAAGTAAGTAATAAGGTCTTCCAATAAAATTATTCAACTTTTACCTACTCTTTTCAGGCTATGTAGAGCCTGCTTATAGTATCATTTTAGTGACACTAAAATTAAAATATATTTTACTGCAGGAGAAAAGAGTGAGGTCAGAGACAGAAAGTGAAATTTTAGAGGGTTCGAATAAGTTTCACGAAATTTTAATTTGTAAAGTGTTTCCAGAATTTAATACCTATAAAACCTTCGGAAGTTCAGAAGAGTGTCGAATGATTTTCATGCTGATGCGGTAGTGTATGCTACCCCTCATGAGGATAAATAATGGAGGAGGAGTAGATGGGGGAGTTTAGAGAGAAATTCAGCCCAAATCTAACCTCCAAACTGAATGAAGAACTGCACCTTAAAATGAAAATATTAACATCTACACCCTGTGAACGTCCTAGGCTTGGGAGACAATTTGTTTGACCTATCTGGATAAAATTTTTAACTTTAGGTGCTTCCAATGCTGGATTTTGGAGAGAATTTTTCTCTCGATAGACCCCTATATAGTGTCAATGCATCACGAATAATTAGGATACATATCAATGGCCAGAGTGCGAAACCACGTATTTTCATAGCTATGTTTCAAAATTTACCCTTCTATTTGATTTTTTCGAGGAGAAACAAGCAAGCTTTATAGCTTGAAATTATTACAGAATACCTACTCTGCTAACGAAGATGAAAATCAAAGAAGTTTTTAAGAAATTACGTTGTCTAGTTTCCCAACAGAAAAACAAAAGTAGGTACCTATAACAGGAAGTGTGCAACACCGGGAACTGAGGTACGCAGTTTTATTCTTTTGTCATTGATATGTTGAGAACTGAACCGTGAAAAAGTGAGAAACGAGGGGAAACGGGGAGGGTGAAAAATGTAAAAAATCTAGAATCATTGTTTTAAGACGTTTCGTGACCTCCTGAATGCATCTTCAAAAGTTTCAACAAATATAAAATTTCACGAAAATTAATTTAATTTAATTTTCCATCTCTCAGAAAGGTGAGACATTTTCATTACTCTTGCGGTGACATTAATTATTCACCTTCTTTCTTAGAATAACATTTAATTGATGTTTTGTCCAAATAATTTTCTCAAGAAGTTTTTCTTTGTCTTTATCTCGCTAGAAATCTTCTCTCTTCCGTGCCTCTTTCCCTTTTTTAGTGTATTTTCCGAAGAAAATACACTATTGCATTCTCCCATGATGTCGGACCCAGACCCGAGACCTTGTGAAGAGCACCGATCACGGGTCGTAGATCACGAAAATATATGCCATTCAAATTCATGTGTATATATGTATGTATATATGTATGTATATGTATATATATATGTATATATATATATATATATATATATATATGTATATATATATATATGTGTGTGTGTGTGTGTGTGTGTGTGTGTGTGTGTGTGTGTGTGTGTGTGTGTATGTATTTCCGCCTTTTTAAGATTTTTCGATTTTTGAGTAGTTATTTCTTTCTTACGTTGAAAGATATTTTAACCAATTATTTTGCATTTAGTAGAGACTCATTAGAACTACTATTCTGCGGAAAAAAATTGAAATTTGAGGCAATAGATTTTGAGGGGTGGGGCTCGAAAGTGGGGGGAGGTCAAATCTTGTCCACTCGATAACGCAAGCGGAAATGAATATTTTGAGCTGAAATTTTTACGGGTGGTAGTTCTCCCCTAGGACTGGTTTGGTATTGAATTTGAGCTAAATCGGCCGAGCCGTTTAAAAATGGCGAGCTTTGAAAGTTTTAGGCGAGGGGTGCGCGGCATGAGGGGAGCCGGCCGGAGCAGGGCCGCACAGTGGGTCGGGGGAGAAAGTTTTTGGACAAGCTGATCGTCGCACAGTGGGTCAGGGGGAAGAAGTTTTTGGACAAAATTTTCGTCGCACAGTGGGTCAGGGGGAAGAAGTTCTTGAACAAGCTTTTCGTCGCTCAGTGGTTCAGGGGAAGGAAGATTTTGGACAAACTGCGCGTCGCACAGTGGGTCAGGTGAAGAAAGTTTTTGGAAGAACTGTTCGTGGCACAGCAGCCCAAGGAAAGGAAATATCTGGGAAAAAAACTATCGATTACACAATGATTTTCAGACATACGATTTTATGACTACAAAAATCCCACTTCGGGAAATACACTTCCTTCCCGCGGTGGATGCGCGGGATACTTAAAAAGAAGAAAAACTAGATGTACAGACGACCCTGAAAAGACGCGCGCGAAGCGCGCGTCCTGGGGGGGCTCCGCCCTCCCCCCCCAAAAACCGGCGCGGAGCGAAGCGGAGCGCCGGTTTTTTCTTCTTACATGTTTTTTAACTTTGCTCGATGCCATGTTGCCAACAGGCGCTTCCTATTTCGAACTCGCGAAATTCAAAGCCACGAGTTATATTTTCTCACACTACTGCGGCTCTTTTGGTCTGACGTAGAATGTTGAGTCCGCGTGCCTCGTAAAAATCCAGTGTTACCAAATTTTATTGCCGATCTAAATTACTGCCCATTGAAAACCTTATACGGTTCGAATCTTCCGCGTAATTACAATCCAAACATGCGAACTGCGCGCGCACCAAAACTTCACTTTTGGTCGCCTCATGTGTCCCGTGTGTGGCACCCGCAACGAGCCCTGCTCGGAGTGCTCGGGTCTTCCGGCAGCGTCTGCTCATCACCATAGCCAATCAGAGCTCGAGATGAGCTCAACCTAACCTAACCTTCACTAGATAAACACGCGGTCAAGATGCGGGTAATGGCTAAGGCGGTTGAGATGCGTTGTTTAAGTCCACAACTCCCTGGTAAAAATGATCAGTTGACGGTGTATCAGTTTGTCAACGGTGTTTTGGCGCGGAGCATCAGTAGACATCAATTGAGATCGGGTCAGTTGATGGCTTCAACTGATCTAAACTGATACGTGGTAGCAGTTTGAAGTATCAACAGATCTGAAATGATACTTGGTATCAGTTGGTACCATGTATCAACTGATACGACATAAATTGAAAACGCATTATTTGCTTGTGTAATTTCACGTATTTATTCAGTTTTTCAAGTTTATCTCACGATTTGACGACCAGAGAGCGCTGCTGGGAATTACCGTTCTCGTATTTCTGACACGAGGCTTACAAGGGGAACTTACGGACTGTCGCCTCCGATTGGGCTGAATTTTTTTTACAGACTCTATGGACCAATTCTAGAGGTCAATTTGAACCGTTTTCCCGAATGCGCAGTAGGAAGGGCGTGAAAAATTTCCAAAAGTTGCGTTTTCGGCGCATGATTTGGTCGTGCGGCGCGTGGCAACACTGAAGCAGCCTCTAGTTCCACGCACATTATAGCACGAAGAACTCCAGTTAATTCCGGAGCCCCACTGCTCAGGAGCTTGCTCCGAAATCGCGGCGCTCGGGTTCGATACCCGTCCTGACTCCTAACTTTTTATTTTCTGCATGATCACGTAATCATTTTATTTTTAATTCTACTCTTTCTTTTTCTTTTCTGCATGATCACGTAACATTTTATTTTTAATTCTTCATCCATATTTATAAATCAAGCAGTTCTGATCACTACCCCCCCGCCCCCT